CATGTTGGGTGGGCACATCGTGTTCTGGTGAGTAACCACAGTACTGTTTCGTTGGGGTTGAGCCCGCATCTGGTGAGGGGATGCCCCAAAGGCACATCCTTGGCCCATCTGGGCTTGGAAGTGATCAAACCTTCTGTGCTGACTGTCCAGGAGCAGGGCCCATTGCTTCCACTCTTTGTTGGGAATGGGTGGGATCCATAGATTGACTCTCAAAGGTGATGGGTAATGGCTCATTGGAACTTGTCAATTAACCTGGCATCTCTGAGCCTGGACACTGGTTTGTACAACTCAAAGAGCTGGATGACTGTCTTGACAGGGTTGGGCCCTTGTCTTATGTCCGACAGCTTCTGCATTGTGGTCGCTGCCTGGTTTGGGTCGGCGAACATGTCCTTCAACTCTTGGAGGAAGTTCTCAAGTGTTGGGATCGCAGCATTAGGGGAGAGGTATGCATTAATCTTCTGGGAGGCCCACAAGGCTGCCATCCCCTCTTTCATATGTGATAGGATGAACAGGATCTGTTGTTGATCATCAGGATACTCGGCATGGTGGAGCGACAGGTACAAGCAGCATTGTGCCAAGAAATCCTCTAGTTTCTCTTGGTCACCATTAAAGGGCGATGGGGTAGCGACTTTGGGAGGCCTTGACATGGGGAGAGGAGGTGGTTGATTAACCTGAGCAGCCTGGGCACTGAGCAGCACTTGGACCAACTGGGTGAGTTGTTGGATTTGCTCCTGAGCAGACATTGTGGTGTTTGATGCAGACTCAGGAAGAAGGTTGAAACTTTCTTCTGATGTCAGGGTACTGAGCTGCTCAGACTCTAAGTCGAGGGATCCTGAGCCTTTGCTGGAGCTGAGGCCAAGGGGGACAGGGTCAGTCTCAATGGGGGAACCGGCAAAGCAGATTGCGATAGGGATTCCAGCTGAGCAGCGAGGGGAAGTGAGAGAAGAAAGTTATCTTCCTCACTCGCTACCCAGGGAATGATAAAGTCAGTATGCCTGGCAAAGCAGGGCCGCTCTACAGAAGGAAATATAACAAATGTCTGTGCCAGTCCAGGGATGATGATCAGGCTGTGCGGGTAATGCTGGTCTGGGGCAAGTGTGTCATCAGTTGTGTGTAAGCAGTCCGGGCTTAACTGGGCTGTACTCTGACAGGAGGGAGGTGGAAGATCTGGGATATGACACTTACCCACAGTAGGCAAGTGTATCTTACTTGCCTTCTATCTATTCACTTTCCTACCCACACATTGTGCAGTGCCCTGACACAGAGTGGGCAGTAAAAAAAACAGAAGGGCCATCACACTGCATCTGGAGCAGCAATGGCTGCAATGGAGGCCATTCTCAACTAAAATTCACCTGAGCCTTCTAATGTTGATATACTCTTGCAAAATCTCATAACATGTGAAAAATTTTGCTCAAAAAATTGTCTGGGGCTAAAAAAAAAAAGAGAGAAAAATTGTCAGGGCACACCCACCTGACCCAGCTCCACCCACCCTGACCTGGTATCCCGCTCACCTCTACTGTTAGAACTTGTGGATTCAGACGACTCCGGAGTGGAATCGGAGACTTAGTGTGGAAGGACCTCAGCCTCAGCGACTCAGGCGGAGCGCTGGGCCATTGCTGGTTGTCCTGGGGGTCCCTAATCTCGGATCTAGCAGAGGGAAAGTCTCTTGGGGGGAATTCAGGTCGATTTCGGACTGAGGTTACAAGTTACTAGGTACATTGTATATAAGGAGGGGTCTGGAATCAAAAGGAACAAGGGTAGGACGAAAGGAGACAAAGGGAGATGGAAAGAGGAACAACACCAAGGGTCAAGTGTTTGACTCAATGGTGTTTCTCAAAGGAGGAATGAAGGGCCAAGGCCCAAGGAGGAAGGAAGGAGGATGGGAGTGGGGAATGGCCAGCTGACTGAATAGAAAGGAAGCAGCAGCCCAAATAGGAATGAGGGAGTATAGCGGAATTGAATGGAGCAATGCAATAGTTGCAAGGTCCGACATAAGTCCGGAAAGTCCGAACTCAGAAGTTAAACTCCGGAATATTGGCAAAGGCAATTAAATGGAATGAGCTAACCAATACAATGGGTATAAGCGGAGGTGGGGTCAAAGTCCGAGGTCGGAGCTAAGACTGGAGGTTCCGGAGACGGAGATGCAAACAGGATTCCGGAGTGGAGGTCTGGAGTCAGGAGCATAGGTGTTGTGTACTCGTCTGGAAGGTGTCGAGGTTGGGGTCGGACCCGGAATGTTCCGGAGTCGGACCGAAGGTGGTGTTGGAGCCGGAGGTGGGATAACCTCTTGGGAGTCAGCAAGGAGAAGGTGATGGAAGGGAAGTAGGGCTCTGGAGTTGGTTTCGGAGTTCCGGGAGCCCGGAGCAGAGATTGTATGGATATGACATCTACCCCCCACCCTTCATCATGTTTCCTCAACTCTTGTTCTTCTTTCTATCCTTTTGTTCTTTTATTCCTTTGTTCTTTCTTCTATCTTTATCTACATGGACGACCTTTCCTCATACCTATGTATTATTGACCCACCCGCAATGCGTGCCTGACACACCCAGCCCCGGACAACCCGGACGGCCTTGTGGTGCAACCCAGCATGCATGCGTGCAGCACATGCCCTCGGTGTTAGAGATGGGCGGAAACGGACGACTCCGGAGTGGAATCGGAGACTTAGCGTGGAGGGACCTTGGCCTCAGCGACTCAAGCAGAGCGCTGTGCCATTGCTGTTTGTCCATTTGGTCCTTAATTTCACAGTAGGTGAGCAGGAAGTCTCTTGGGGGCATTTCAGGTCGATTTCGGACTGAAACCAGACGAGTATGTACAAGCGCCGATATATATATAAGGAAGGGGCAAAAGCACAAGGAGAACAAAGGGTGACCGAATCGGAACGAAGACGTCCGAACGGGAACAAAGGGTTAGAGGGAGCGGAGCGGTACCGAAGGTCATAGGGCAAGACCTGTGATACATCCAAAAGGAGGTAGAGTGGGCGAGGCCCAGAGGGGCAGGAGGATGAGGGGAAGTGGGGGTGATGACTAACTGGCTAGAATAGAAAGAAGCAGTAGTCCAAATAGGGATGAGGGGGAATTGCGAGAAATACATTACAAACGGCGAGAGTGCCGGAGGCAGTCCGCGAAGCTCGGGGGTTGCGGAGCTTACGGAGCTTACGGAGGCGGGGTTGGAAGTCCGAGGAATATTGGCAATGGTGTTCACGTAGTATGAGGTCACCAATGCAATGGACTAAGACCGAGGTGGAGTCAAAGTCCGAGGTATGGACTATGACAGAGGCTCGGAGTAAGGTACGAACGGTGTCCGAGTGTGAAGTACGGAACAGCAGTGGATGGTCGTAACTTGGCGGAAGGGTGGCGGAGGAGTGACGGAGGAAGGAGAGAGGGGACAGGTAAGGAAGAGTAGTCAGGTCCGAAGGTGGATATCGGAACGGACGGAGAAAGCGTAGGGGATGACGGGAGGGTGGAGGTGTGGTGAGGGGGGAGCGGAGTTGTAGGAAGGGTGGCGAGTAGGGCGATGTTTGGTCCGAGATGAGTATCGGAACGGACGGAGAAGGGGTCGGAGAGGTAAGAGGAGGGGTGTGTTGCCAAGACCGAAGGTGAGTATCGGAAAGGCAGCGGTAGGTTATGACTCCGGAGGTGAAGAGGGTGGTGTCCGGAAGTCGGGTCGGGGTTGGGTATGCACGGATATGACACTCGGGATCCCCCATGGGGACACCTGGATGACTGTGGCTGTATGCAGGGTGACGTGGCAAACCTCATGTGACCCAAGCCGCATGTACATAAAGGTACCTGGGGTGGGAACCAAAGAAGTAACCTTCTTCTCACAGTTCCCACTTCAGGTAAGTAGCATAGCCTCCCCTTTTAATAACAACTCACAGTCCCCACTTCAGTCTGAGTGGCCAGGGACCATCGTCCTGGACCGGGCTTGCCAGTATGCATGCCTGCTCCACACCCCACGACGGCCTCAGTGCTGGGCATTACCCTCGGGCCGCCTCGATGTCAGGGCACACACCCTGACTAGCCCGGACCCGGACCCGCATCCGGACCCGCTTCCACCCACTGTGCTTCCCACATGCGTGCACGCTCCGCGCACCGCATGCTCCGGGCCCGGTTCCTACTCCTTCATGTGACTTCCGGGTATCCCCGGAAGTTTTCCTGATATGGTGGCCACTGTGGGAAGATGAGAAGTTAGCTTCCTTCTCATCTTCTTACCCACAGTAGGCAAGTTGTATCTTACTTGCCTTCCTATCTATTACATCTTCTTACCCACAGTAGATTGTGCCCTGGATAGGGCTGGCCAGACCTGAGGCTGTGGGCCATAGGGGAGGGTCATGGGGACCTGGGAGTCGTCCCCTGACACTCGACCCCGGACATGTCCCTGACAGCTGGCACTTAACTGCAGCTGAAAACCCATCAATCAGGTGTGAAGACGACTCTGAGCATGTCATCTGTCTCTTTCCAGTCTCTGGAAAGGAAGAGGAACAAGTCTGTGCTGGTAGCACAGACAGGATTAGGGAAAAGTGACCACTGGATTTCAGGGTGGCAAGGTGTACTGAAAGAGAAGGAAGGTGGGAAGGGAGATGGATTGGGAAGGAGGGAACAGGAGTGGGAAGGCTGTGGGTGTCCCAAGGGGGCATAGCAATGAGGTCCGGGAGTGGCACTGGAGAGTCTTCTCCAGCCACTAATTCCTCGAAGTCACTGAGGGGACTTGCCCTGGGCTTCACAGGGAATGAGTTAGTGTGCATTAGGAAATAGGTAATTACACTTGCCTTCACAGGGAATGAGTTGAGAAGAAGGGTAACCTTCTCAACCCCCTGTGAGGCCGCTACAAAAGGAGCCTGGGAACTGTGCAGTTGTCGGGTCTTTCCCGAGTTTCCATATTAGGTACCGTGGGAAGATTCTGGGCAAGCAGCTCGCCCAGAATGTTCCCACAGTTGTGGCTGTGCTGGTTTCTGGGCAAGTTGCTTGCCCAGAACATCCCCACAGGTTCACGAACCGGTATCATTGTGGAACAGTGGGGGAAAAATGGGGGAAAATGGGGGAAGGGTGGTTAGGAGGGGGAAAGGGTGTCTGAGGGTGTGTGGGGTCGAGGGCTGTGCCCTGACAGTGGGGATGCACGGTCTTGGAAATCCTTTGCCTTCCAGCAAGGTGTTTGCATGCAATAAGCACCATTCTTCTGAAGCCATAGTGCTCCAGAAAATGCAGTTCCAGCTCTTCTTCCACAAGCCAAAGAGCCCATTCAAACTTTTGCTTGAACGTCTTTTCCAAATAGTTCTCTAAGCCTGGGGCATAGAGTGGGCATGTGAGTGTGTGGAGTCGGGAAGCAACTCCATGGAGTTCTGCCAGGCAGTCTGATTCCACTCTCTGGAACATAAAGTTGCATGCATATGCATGCATGTCAACCTGATCAGGGCTCAGATGCCACTGAATGTACCTCTGGATGAGGTCAACATCAGCCTCAGCACCAGGGGTGTTGAGTGGGAGTGTTGCGACTTTCAGAATGATAGTCAGCACATAGTTGAGGATATCATCCTCATCATACACTGACCTATCAAGGGAGTCAGGGTTTCCCAGATCCTGAGATTGGGAGGGTTTGCCTCTACTCTGAGGCATAGTTGAGTGTGCATCTAGGAATGGCACACACGTGATTTGCATGTGAGAACTAAGCGCAAATGCACATTGTCAGGGTAGACAATGCATGTGGGACACAGTAGGGTTCCGTCACCAATCGCGGTGCTGAGATTGTAAAAGGAAACAAGCTTAAAAAAGTGAAGGGTTGCTTACTTATTTGGGGACGGTAACGTTCCGTTCCCCCGTTCACCTCAGGCCTCAGTTAGTCTGTCTAAACATAAGCTTTAATGAACTGTATATTCAATGGGGTAGAGGTAAAAGGCTACCGGGTCTTTACAACTACTCCGAGGTATATATATGTAAATTACATATCTCGGCACAAATAAATAAAGAAATAATAGCATCACTATAATGGGAATTATAGCGATGCAACATAATGATATCACTATAATCGGAATTATAGTGAAGTAAGGTTAATCCCTTACAGAAAGGTTGCTTACTTATTTGGGGACCATAATGTTCTGTTCCCCTGTTTGCCTCAGGCCTCAGATAGTCCATCTAAATATAAGCTTGAGTGGGCTGTATATTCAATGGGGTAGAGGTAAAAGGCTGCCGGGCCTTTACAACTACAGTTGTGGACAGGCAAATTTTAAAGATAAAAGGCTATGATGCATAAGATTCTCAGACTTGTACAAGAGTTCTAGAATTGAATTGTACCTATGATGCATAAGATTATGTGTTACAAAAATGGGGCCGGAGGCACCCATTTTTGTCTGTCCTGGCACAGGAATAGGGAAGGGGGTTGGACATAAGGGTTTACAGGTGGTTTCACAGATGGTTTAACATGTTATTGAACAGGTAGTGTGGCAGCAGGTTTTCATTGATTATTGATTGGTCAAACTCAATTACAATACAAATCATGTGATACAGAACCCATAAGAGTCTAAAATGGGAAATTCCCATTTCCATAACATTCTGTGTCAACATGTACATAGTTAGAAAGATGTCTATAATAATAAAGCTATAGCTCTCACCTCAGACTCATACAAGAGTTTGAGGGGGAGGATCTACAGAGAGAGCCCTCTTTATATGTGAGCCACATCTCTGACATGTCTCACCACATAAAGAGTGCACAGAGAGCAAACAGAGACTGAGACAAGACCCTCAAAACTCATTCCACCATCAGTGGTGAGTTATTGATCATGTCTCAGTGTTTGTAGCGACCCCAAAAAAAAAAATCAAATCCCATGTTACTCAGATGCTGGGACTAGTTGTTGAAATCCCAACAGCAAATACATTAAAGTTTCCAGACTGGAATTTTTCATCACAATAAGCTCAATTTTGAGGGAAACAAATTCTTATTGGGTGTAGCTACCCAAAAATGGTGTTTTGGGATTTTTGTCAGGGATGCATCCAGGGTGGAGGGGGCCTGGATGTACTGTACTGGCATGACCAACAACCGGTAACGCATAACGCTGGCCCGCCGGTCCAGTTCAAATGTAAAATTGTGACGTGTAATGCGAGGCAGCCGGTCGGCTGTCCAGTGTAACGCAGATTCACGGACTTTGTGGTGGCTGTGCTGATGTAATTCAATTTTCCTTTTTTGTATTGTATATACATTCAAAAATGTGAATAGCAAAATTCAGCCAACTCCGAAGCCATCATGAACACGTGCTTGAAATTTTTTGTCATTTACAGTAAATTTCATAACACGTTGCCAAATGTGTGTCAGTATAATATGCCTTCTAAGATGAATAAATTAGGCCAACCCCGCTGCACCGCAGCTAAGGTAAGACCCGATCTCGTTAAAAAAACAATCAAAAAACCAACCTGTATCACATGTGAATCCGGTCGGGTGTAATGCATAACGCAGGGTTGCCGGTTGGTGGTTTTCCGAAACTTTTTCCCACACCTCCACATGACCCGGTTGTTGGTTGTGCCAGTACAGTAGTGCCCAGCAGAGGGACCCTCTTGGGGTGCAAAGTGGGCATGCGTGCTGGTGGGCCTGATGCAGGACAGCAGTCCCTGGCCACTTAGACTGAAGTGGAAAAGGTAAGAAGAAGGTTACTTCTTCGGTTCCCACTTCAGGTACATTTATGTGCATGTGGCTCATGATGGGTGCCACATCATCCTTGGAGACAGCCACAGCCATCCAGGTGTCCCCATGGGGGATCCCAAGAGCATCCGCTGCAGGCATGCATGCTAGGCACAGCGGGGAGCCATCTGGGGTGTCTGGGCTGGATGGGTCAATAGTACATTGATGCAAGGGAAAGTGGTCCATGTAAATAGAAGGATTAAACAGGAAGAGAATGATGGGAAGAATGAAATAAAGAAAAGGGAAGAAAGGGAGAAAAGAAAGAAAGAAAGAGGGTGTCAGGGACACGTCCAGGGTCGAGGCAGCCCGAGGGTAATGCCTGGCACTGAGGCCGTCGCGGGGTGTGGAGCGGGCATGCATACTGGCAAGCCCGGTCCAGGATGATGGTCCCTGGCCACTCAGACTGAAGTGGGAACTGTGAGTTGTTATTAAAAGGGGAGGCTATGCTACTTACCTGAAGTGGGAACTGTGAGAAGAAGGTTACTTCTTTGGTTCCCACCCCAGGTACCTTTATGTACATGCAGCTTGGGTCACATGAGGTTTGCCACGTCACCCCACATACAGCCGCAGTCATCTGGGTGTCCCCATGGGGGATCCCGAGGGCATGTGCTGCACGCGCACGTGCTGGGTTGCACTGTGAGGCCGTCCAGGTCATCCGGGGCTGGGTGTGTCATGCGCGCATTGCGGGTGGGTCAATAATACATAGGTATGAGGAAAGGTCGTCCATGTAGATAAAGATAGAAGAAAGAACGAAGGAATAAAAGAACAAAAGGATAGAAAGAAGAACAAGAGTTGAGGAAACGTGATGAAGGGTGGGGGTAGAGGTGAGTGGGATACCAGGTCAGGGCGGGTGGAGCCGGGTCAGGTGGGTGTGCCCTGACATCACCCCCTCCTTAAGCCGCTTCGCCTCGAAGCAGCCAGGGGGTTTGTTCTCTCCCTTCCTGGGGCGTGGGGGTGTGTTTGGTGGAACTCCTCTATCTGGTCAGGGGCATGGATTAGTTGGTCTCGGGGGAGCCATTCATTCCCTGAGTTCGGCCAACCCACGAACTTTACTAAATACCAGAGCTTCCAGCGTAACCACTTAGAGTCCAGTATTTTCTCTACTTCATATTCCTCCTGTCCATCTACGAGTTCTGGGCCCAGGCGGGGGTCGGGGGTCGTTCTGCAATCTCGTCTGGGTGGTAGGGTCTTACATTCGTCACAGATACGACTGAGTGTATTCCCTTTTGCCGTGCGGTGAGCTGGAGCTTGACAGCAGCCGGGGAGACGATTTTGATGACTTTGAAGGGGCCTAGCCACTTATGGTCTAGCTTCTTGGTCGGGCGGTCAGTCGTATAGTTTTGGGTGCTGAGCTAGACTCGGTTGCCTTCCTGGTACTTGGGGGCTGTCTCTCGACCCCGGTCATAGTAGCGGGCCATCTCGTCCACTGCATGCTCCAGGGCTGCCTTCGCCTCTTCCTGCATCTTCATCATCCTGGACAAGAAGGCATCGGCAGCTTCTACCTCGGATGTACGTGTGGCTCTGTCCCCATCCTGGGATGCTGCCCCGGTGTCAAGCTCGAAGGGGGTTTGACAGGTGGATGAGTGGACGCGGTTGTTGTAGGCGAATTCTGCCAGTGGGAGCCAGTCTGCCCAGTCATCCTGGCGGTGGTTGACGAACACCCGGAGATAGGCTTCGATTTCCTGGTTAACCCGCTCTGTCTGTCCGTCAGTCTGGGGGTGATAGGGCATTGAGGGGGTTAGCTTGACCCCCAGGAGATCTGCAAGTTCTTTCGAGAAGCGTGAGACGAAGGCACTCCCTCTGTCGCTGAGGATCTCTTCCGGGAGCCTGTGGTGCTTCCAGACGTGCTCCAGGAAAAGCCGGGCAATACCAGCCGAGTCCACGGACATCACGGTGGGGATCACATGGATGCGTTTGGACAGACGGTCCACTACAACTAGGATGGCGTTATAACCTTTCACTCTGGGAGCTCTCCCACCATGTCTACCGAGATTACCTGCCAATGGTGGGTAGGGACTTTATTTGGGGTGAGCTTCCCAACCTTCCGTGTGGGGAAGGATTTGACATGGTTACAGGTGTTGCATCCATGTACGTATCGCCCGACATATTCTGCCATCCGAGGCCACCAGTAGTTGCAGGAGATGAGCTCCAGGGTTTTCCATCGCCCTGTATGTCCCATCGCCTGCACGTCATGGTGTAGCCATACCAGATTGTGTGTCAGGGCTCGGTCCTCGTCAGGGACAGCCCGACCTCAGGCCTAGGTCTGTGCGGCGTTCCGGGTGGTTGGGCGCTAGACTGTCATATCTGTGCATACCTGACCCCGACCTGACTTCCGGACCTCCACCCTCTTCACCTCCGGAGTCATAACCTACCGCTGCCGTTCCGATACTCACCTTCGGTCTTGGCAACACACCCCTCCTCTTACCTCTCCGACCCTTTCTCCGTCCGTTCCGATACTCATCTCGGACTGAACATCGCCCCACTCGCCACCCTTCCTACAACTCCGCTCCCCCTCACAACACCTCCACCCTCCCGTCATCCCCCTACGCTTCCCCCGTCCGTTCCGATACTCACCTTCGGACCTGACTACTCTCCTTTCCGCCACTCCCTCTTCCTTACCTGTCCCCTCTCTCCTCCTTCCATTACCCTTCCGCCAAGTTATGACCGTCCACCGCTGCTCCGTACTTCACACTCGGACACCGTTCGTACCTTACTCCGAGCCTCTGTCATAGTCCCTACCTCGGACTTTGACTCCACCTCGGTCTTAGTCCATTGCATTGGTGACCTCATACTACGTAAACACCATTGCCAATATTCCTCGGACTTCCAACCCCCTCTGTAAGCTCCGTAAGCTCCGCAACCCCAAGCTTCGTGGACCGCCTCCGGCACTCTCGCCGTTTTGTAATGTATTCCTCGCAATTCCCCCTCATCCCTATTTGGACTACTG